AACCCATTGGGTCCATATGGTTTACTTGTATATATGTTTGCAGGGCTGGCCATTTGGCACTGGACAGCCAATTGGTTTGCTCTTACCTGGAGAGAGCCGCCTCTCCCACTCACAGCTTTACTTAGTTGTCTGTAGTTCTTTGTGTACGCTTGGGGCCTCATGGTCTTTTTCTCCTGCAATTTGGCATGTCATTAGTTTCATCCATGTTCTGCTCACATATTGCTGAGACTTTACAGGGGTAGCTTCTGATATTACTAGAGACAATCTCACAGCTAATTACCAGAAAAGCATTTAATAAAATTCCATACACATTTATGTTCAGTGGTTCTGAGCAAACAAGGATTAGAATCTTTCTTTAATAGTGCAAATGTAGTTAACAATTACGTGTTACTAATATTCTTTTGTTAGAAATAAAAGTCCTATTGTAACTACTTCTACTCAACATTGTAAAAAGCAAAACGCTTTGTATAAACTTTGAAAAAGATAAACAGCTTTGTGAATACACATACCTAAATTTGATAAAGATCAATAGTCTTAGAACCAGTGCATAATGACTTCCCTGTAGTGGCATAATTGGAGTCCCCTTTCAGCTAACCTTCCACGTTCTGTATACTCTAGCACCTCCCAAGACCCCAAGGCCGCTTACAGTTAGATCAGTATTATATACAAATAGCTAAGAGATATAGGGACAGTGACTGAGATCAGATAAAGATCTAATGACCCTTTCCACCCCCTCCTCCTCTTAGAGAACATCAAAATAGTCAATAGGCCCAATCCTGAAGGTTTCTTACAAGTAGTCATAGCTGATCTGATGAGGAATTGTGGCTGTCATAGTCAGAAGGCAATGCTATATAACACCTAATGATCAGATTGCAAACTTTTAAGATGTACATAGTAGTAAGAAATACACTTTTGCTATAATCCTACGTGTGCTCACACACACTGGCATGTCTTTTTGTACATGGTATGAAGAGATGAATATATGTGTGTGTGTGTGTGTGTATTTAATCATATCCATACATGTATGTGTGTTAGAAGCATATAGTTTATGAAACTATCAACAAGAGACCCTGCCTCAGTAATTAAAATGGAAAACAATAAAGGAAGTGACATGACTTTAACTTTGGGCCTCCACATACACCTGTACATGCATGTACCCACACTCATATAAACACACAGGTACATAGGCTTGTATACCACACATACATATGAGAAGTTTTCTAGAAGAATTGATTTCCCACAAACCAATATTGTCATTACACCTTATATTCTTTCATTTCCAGTTTTTAAAAGTGTAAATCTCAGCTGTGGAGTTGGGATATAGCTTAATGGTAGATATTTTTGCCTTACATGCAGAAAATCCTGGAGTTGGGGTTAGGGTGGAAGTTTAGTAATTCCCAGCTGTGTTTTACTTTTCTTTGGTTAAGTAACCACAAAACTCTGTTGTCTCATCTGTAAAGTAGAAATTATGCTAATAAACTATCCCATAGGGCTGTTGTTGGTATGATATGAAAATTAAGTAAAGGGTAGGGAGATAGTCCAGTCAGTAAAGCATTTCCTGGAAAGCATCAGGTCTTGACTTCAGATCCTCAGAAAATATGTACGTAAGATGAGTATGGTGGCAAAAACTTGTAATGACAGAAATAATGTGGGGAGTGGAGACAGGCAGTCCCTGAAGCTTGCTGGCCTGCCAGCTTAGCCTACTTACCCTGTCCAGCAAAATGTGGAAGTTATTTGAGAAATGACACTTGAGATTGTCCTCTGATCTCTGTACACAAGTACACTTGCATGCGCGCACACACACAGACAGAGACAGAGAGACAGAAGAAAAGAAAGACACAAAGAGAATGTGAGTAAAGTACATGTCAAGAAACAAAAAATAAATAACTGTTAGGTGTTACTTACTTGTCAGCTCAATCTAATTGTCATAACTTTAATAATAAAAAAATCCCCCTATAAATCACCTTCTGTGAAATTTAAGAAAGTGAAATTATGATAAAAATTGAAGTTGAATATAAAAGGAAATAAATATAAAGGGAAAATAAATGATACTTATTAGATGCTGGGAAATAAACATCAGAAAGTGAACAAAAAATATCAAATCAGTTTTTGTCTAATATATTCTATTATATGGTCTTTCTTTCCTTACTATTATAAACCTACTTTAAGTTCATTTTTAAATATTGTTCTTGAAATAGTAGTGCTTGGTAATACTGAGCAGACTCCATCATTGGTCCCCAATGCCTTAGGAATGTATTCTAGTCCTGTATAGTGATTGTGTGACTTCCAATATCTAAGCCCAATGTACCTTTTGAAAGAAGATGGGCCAAGTACTTATTTGGTTCCTGTTTTTTCAACTAGTACTTGATGTATTATAATTCAAAAATTATGTTACTCCTGTTAATAAATTAATTTTGAAAACTTATTAGAGAGTTTCAGTAATTAATACAGAGTTGCACGGAGAATAAATAGTATAAAAATTCAAACACAAACTATTATAGCTGTTCTCAAACTTTTCCAAGCCTCCAAATCAACTAGCACTCTTATAAACATCCAAATTACTGGATCCAATCCCCATCATTTCTTACAGAGTAAATCAGCAGCAGCAGCAGAGAGGAAGAGGGAAGAGAGAGTTGAGAGATTTGCATTTCTAAGTACCCAAATAACATGTATAATGCTGGTCCAGAGACCACACATTGAAAACTACTGATGTATCAAACTAACATTTTCCTGTGTTGCTTCATATTTCCCACATAAACACCTAAACTACTCTTTCCTTCATTCTTTCCCAAACCCTTTTCATCTGTTGAATATTTCCTTCATTAAAAACTACTCAAGTCTGTTTCTCCTATAACATTTTTACTCATACCCTCACTTAGAGATGTAATGCTTTATTTTATGCTTTTGAGGCCAGGCCCACCTTGAACTTAGAGATACTACTGTGCCTCTGCCTCCCACTGCTGGGACTAAAGAAAGGTCTTTGTCACCTCACCAGCAGTAGTAGCGACTTAAGGAAGGATTTCTTTTTTTTCTCTCAAGAATTTATCCCCTAGTAAGTTGTATATGCTCCATTGGAAGATCATACATCCAAAAATATGTCCTTGAAGAGTTTTGTTTTGGTTTGTTTTTAAAAGAATACAAAGTTAGGTGGGGAAATGGATTTTGGAAGTGTTGGGAAGTATTATGATCAATGTACATTGTAAGAAATCCCAAAGAACTAATGCAAAGTTTAGGAAATACAGTTTTTAATAAAATAATGAATTCCAAAATGAAATAGAGAAAGGATGACTAGTAGACATTTTCAAATACATGCAAGGCTTTAAGTAAATGCTAATAAATTTTCCCATTCAGATTGTAAGACAAGGAAAATAAAATATATGACAATTATAGATTATTTTTTAAAAATCATTGTCATAGAATAAGCTCCATCATAAGAACATTTGTAAAATAGAATTACATTACAAAAAATCTGACTTATAAATGTTTTAAAATAGCATAATTTATTTTTCAAAGATAAAAATAAAATGTAACCACATAAAATTCCAACCAGTTAGTGAGATAGCATAATTCTAATTCTTATAATAATTAAAATATACTCCATACATGTATGAAATTGTCAAAGAACAATTTTAAAGAAAACTTTTAAAAGAAAAAGAACTCAGGTGTTGTTTGAATCTTAGATGGTCTTTTAATAATAAAAGAAAGAAAGGAAGGAAGGAAGGAAGGAAGGAAGGAAGAAAGAAAGAAAGAAAGAAAAAAGAAAGAAAGAAAGAAAGAAAGAAAGAAAGAAAGAAAGAAAGAAAGAAAGAAAGAAAGAAAGAAAGAGAGAAAGAGAGAAAGAAAGAAAACCAGAGCCAGCTATCAGGGTGAAAGCTGAAAGATCAAAAAAGCCAAACAGCCAGCCACTAGTTCTTACCTCTATGAAATCCTCAGTCTAAATAATGTGAGTTCCTGTTTCCTCGTGCCTTATATACCTTTCTCTGCCCAGACGTCACTTCCTGGGATTAAAGGCATGTGTGCTTCCCAGTACTGGGATTAAAGGTGTGTGCCACCACTGCCTGGCTCTGTTTCCAGTGTGGCCTTGAACTCATGGAGATCCAGATGGATCTCTGGATCCCGAGTGATAGGATTAAGGGTGTGTGCCACCACTGCCTGACCTCTATGTCTAATCTAGTGACTGGCTCTACCCTCCAATCCGCAAGCAAGTTTATTAGGGTACACAATATATCACTACACTCAGGCCTTCCGTTCTTGACTCAATTTTCTAGTGCCTTCTCCTTTTGTTTTGTTTCTAGCCAGCTGATTTAAACATGGAATTAAGTTGTCCAGTGAAACAGGGACCATGAATTTAAAAAGGAGTTGGGAGAAGGAACTGGGGGAAGGGCAAGAAGGAAGGAAGGGAAGGGAGAAGTACATAATTAAATTGTAATATCAAAAATAAAATTTAAAAAAAAGAAATTGATGAGAATCTCTCAAAGACCTTTTTATATTAAAATACCTGTAACTAACAATGTTTCTGTTTATGGCTAAGCTCTCTTGCCTTTTCCCCCCACAGCAATTCATTTGTAAAATTCCCTGTTTACTTTCTACACTTGTTGAAAAGTTAAAGAACAAATCTAAACCTCACTCAACTCTTGAATGCTTTCTAATTTAGACTTTTGAACATCACTATTATGACATTACATATATTAATGCACTGTATCTTTGAACCGTTACAATTTGAAAAGCTAAAATTAAACAAAAAGGTATTTTTATAGTGTCAGATTACTTTAAAATAGCTAGTTTATTCTGATTCAATGTTCAGTCCATCTTTTAAATTCACTGTACTAACCACTATTATAAAAACATCAGTCAGAATGTTCTATTTGTATAATAATTGATAATTTCTTACTGTAACATTTTACTCCTATAATAGATGTTCTCATATAAAACAGTATGATTGGCCTTTGTTGAATATTTGTTGCAATTCATTATTCAATCCACTTTCTCTTTCTTTTCAGACCAGTGTGTGGAATAAGGGGAAAAACTCTGATAATTAACCTACCTGGTAGCAAGAAAGGATCTCAGGTAAGCATTCTTTACATCATATGGTTTAATGAATGGACTTATAACCAACCAACTGTAAGAGCAGACAACCCACAATCTGAACATAGCACAAAGCTGCTCGCTGCTGACACTATTCAGGAGTTCAAGAGATTCCCAATAAGCACCCTCAAATTCTGTAATTCATTATGATGAATCAGAGAACTCACTAACACTTTATAGGCTTACAGTTATTGTTTATGGAAGGAAAGAATACAGATTAAATTGAGTCAAGAGAAGTGCATTGGAGTCCAGTTAAAATACCAAATGCAGAGCTTCTGTTGCCCTCAAACTGTGTACTCAGGAATTTGTTACTCTCTTGCCATTGTGATATTCTACATGGAATATCAACAATCAAATAATCTAATTTGATCTGTTATGTTTATCATGTTTCTGTTTGTTTATTCATTCTAGCTCATCATATACTGTCCACATGGCTGAATTTTAGTCCTTATCCCTTTAGCCTCCAATATCTTTCAGAGGCAAAGCAATACCAAAGTATGTCCAAACCTGCATTGTAGTTTACATTGTTAGGAGATCTGATTGCCCAAGGCCTTTGACAAATAAGAACACTCTCAGTCATGGCAGTCTGATATCCTAAAAGTTCCCCTTCTAGTAGCTAAAGGCAAGACTAGACTCTTTCTGTGAGATAATTAATTCTGTACTACATATGGTATGGTATGTTCTGACCTTTGGCTAAGGCTTTTGGCAAGGCTAGACTCTTTCTGTGTGATAATTCTGTACTACATATGGTATGGTATGTTCGGGCCTTTGGCTAAGGCTTTTTACCAAACAATTAACATTCCTAAAAAAATTATATTTTAACACTTATTATATCACTTAACACAGCAATATTATCAATGAGAATATGCCTGATTTGCAAGCAGCAACATGAAATATGGTTAGACTTAGAGAAACAAGTAATCTACTCTTTAAAGACACTATATATATTTTCATATTTTAATTGTAATTTACTATTGTAATTTACTAATTTTCCATCTTAATCTTAATATTCATGCAATGCTATATAACAGAGATTAGCTAAACAATTTCCAGTCATTTGCTGGCCAATCATTTTATGTTGGTATTACACTTTAAGGAGACCTTAATTCACTTTCCAAATATATTTGACCAAGAATAATCAGTACTACTATAGTAATAACAATGCCAAAATTACAACATATCTAAATATAGAAATAGTACAACTGAAAAAGTATGAAGTCCAAAGATAGTGGATTAAAATAAAGTCAGGCCTTCATTATACTTGTCTTATGAAGCATTACCTATCTTGTCTTGAGTCTCTTACATCTTTGAAGAGGTATAAAGTTCAACCACTATGCTGATTCACATTACCATTAGTAGTATAGGTATTTTGCAACAGGACATTGTCATCTACAAAATTCACGTACAAGAACCACACAATCACTTAAAAAAAGTTTTCAGGTTGTTTTGGCTTTGTGTTTAGCTATATATGTAGATATCATGTAGGTATCCTCAACCACATAGGGTTTGCAGGCCATAGGTTAGGTGCCTCATAACACCTCCCACTCAGTCTATTCCTGTTAATATGATATGGTTACACAGATAAAGAGCTGGTGGATTATCTCTCCACTTAGGCAATATAGTATCATTCATTGTCAAATCTAACTTATCCAGATGTGGTAAGGGCAAAAGCAAACATCAGGAATTCTGACAAAAAAAATTTAAAGATAATATTTAACATCTTCTTGCTTAGAAAGTGTCCCCTATTGTGGCACCCACAGTTGTATTATTGCTGTGGCCACTGTGTCAGATTAGAAACAAAAAAAGTTTGGGTGTCATGGGGGAAAGGGTACATTTGTAAGGAAAAGCATTTAGTTATGAGTGTCTTTGTGTAAGTGCCCCTTTCCTTCAAAAGTGAACTCAACTAGTAGGAATCTTCCTTACTCATCTGCCTTCCTATATTGAATGTGATGAGACACTCATGAAGGCATTTAAGAGCGCTTCATACCTTTTTCCCTCCATGTGAAGACAAAAGTTTGAAGCACCCATGTCATTCTCCAAAGATGAAAATCCTAAAACCTATTTGTATCCTCAGGAGTTACCAGCATCAATTTTAATTTGACAGTTATATGTTGAACTTTCCCTCTTCAGAATATTTCCCATGGCTTTCTATCGTTTCTGACTTACTTGTTGACAGATTGGACAGTTATTGTTGACACTTCATGCCTCAAAGGGTGCAAGATGAATATATCTTAACTTGGCCTATCTTGCTTTTCTGTAGCTATCTAGTGTTCACTTACCTCTTGGACTCATGTAACCAATTTAAGCATCCAAATGTGTATGATTCCACTCAATTTTCTAATCCTAGGAAGAAGTTCTTTGGGTGGACATTGACATATTTTACTTTAATGCACACCCTGAAATCCTAGGAATAACTTCAATATGCCCCATGCGTCTGTGTCTTCAGTAGATCAGTTTTTCATAACTTTTTTTCCTGCACATGTAACCATATGACATTGAACACTGCTCCTGAATTAGGAAAGTAAATATGTAAGTATAGCTGAGATACAGCATAGCAGTATAGGTTGTACTGACAATTCACAGGCCTTAGGACCATCATGTAGTTCAAGCATGAATTATTTGTTGTCATCTTCTTCAGCCACCTGCAAAGTTGGAACATTCCAAAGGATGAGCTTCCTTAGTGACAACTTCAACTTGAAGTAATTCCTAAAACTACATACTAATACACTAGGATTCACGGAACTCACTGAAAGGTGTTATAGTTATTATTTACACAGGAAGGTGATATGGATTAAAATGAGGAAGGGGAAAGTGCATAGGGCAGAATGTAAGAGTTACCTATGAAACATAGAGCTTTCATTGTCTTTTCTTCCTTAGGACCATGCACATGTTACCATCCTGTCCTAAACACATGACAATATACATGCAGAGCATTGCCAATGAGGAATACCAGCTTGAGCCTTTGGATTCATAGTTTTCAGGGTATCTGGTAGTCAAAGATCCCAGCAAATAAGACATTTTTATCAGGCATGACATTCTAATGTCTGAATATAGCCTCCTAGAAGCTGAAGGAAAATATCAAACCTGTGTTTAGTCAAGATTATATTTTTTAATATACTGTTTAAACAGTGAGCAATTGAGCCCTATAAAGAGAATCAAAAGATTAGGTATTCTTCAAAGTATGCCTTTAATGCTCCTAAATTTTTTTAAGGTATTTCTTCACCTCTTAGACTTTATTAAAGTGTTGCTTTAATGTGAAAGAGAAAGACTTCCATCTTTTCCTCAGACATAAGTAGCTCTGTATTCTTATGGGATGCGTTATAGATAATAATGATGCATGAAGAAAATACTATATTGACTTCTATTCACAACTTTTTACAATTTTATTTCTGTTTTTACTTAACTGCACAGTGGTTTTGTGATGACTATACTTGTACGCTTTATGGTAATAGAATTTCCAATCTGAACAACAACAACAAAAAAATCTGGTCCTTAATGTGGTTTGTTAGATCCAAGTCTTGCACTAGCAAACATTTTGAAAACTCTCCTGCCTTTTGTATCCTTTCTATATAAAGCATAAATAAATCCAAAGTTGTATCAAAATTGTACTTTAAAAGCTTAGTGTACATTCATCTAAGGATTCTTCTAAGGACCATAACCTCTAACATATGGAAAATACCATATGCTGTGATTGTTCATATTTCACATTAAAAGGTATGTCAAATATGACTGACTCATTCTTGAGATGGATGGAAATACAAATCCAAAAGTAGAATCAATTTGACTGCCACCATTTTATATGTCTCCTAAAAAGCCTAATTTTTATTGTTTTTTGTCTTTGTGGGCAGGAATGCTTTCAGTTCATACTGCCAGCTCTACCTCATGCCATTGACCTTTTACGTGATGCCATTGTAAAAGTAAAGGAGGTGCATGATGAACTTGAAGATTTACCTTCCCCACCACCTCCTCTTTCTCCACCTCCTACAACTAGCCCCCATAAACAGACAGAAGACAAAGGGGTTCAGTGTGAAGAAGAGGAAGAGGAAAAGAAAGACAGTGGTGTAGCTTCAACAGAAGATAGTTCCTCATCACATATAACTGCAGCAGCTATTGCTGCAAAGGTAAGTCTGCTGAGAGAGACCAAGTTCTGAAACACCCATGGGGAAATTACTCATTTCACCCCTCTTTCCATTTCATCCTTCCATAAGTTTAATACTTCTTGAGAGCATCCTAAAAATGGAACTTGAATATCCATTAACTTTTGTCATTGTGTTCTCTGTCCTGGTACAGATTTTTTGTAAGCATTGAAGTCAGTTTGTGCTCTAAGGCACTAATGATGTGCCAATTACCTATATACACTATAGTAATAAATAATATGATATTTAACAACTCTTTAAAGTTGCCATTTTATTAAATGTACAATGATTATATATTTGGAACATCCAAACTCCACAGATTTTTAAAGAAACAGAAAAGTTAAAAGACCTCAGATGACTCTTGAAATTAGTTGGGAAAGAGTAATTTTAAAATTTTGCCTGGTGTGAAGGTATAGGGAACCCCTAAGTAGTACCACAAAAAAAAAATTTTTTTAAAGACAAGTGTATAAGAGGGTTTTGAATTTTCCCCAACTGAATATTTACTCAATTATTGTCAAACACAATTTATCTTAGTGGTATAGAGAAGAAATTAATATATTTTCCTTTTAATTTAATAAATAATTTAAATATTAAGGTAACACCAGAGTTTACAAATTTTCTTCAGATGGACCTAGAAATGGAGTACTGTGAGGTGTTTGAGTAAATTTGGTCATCTTACTGTCATATTTTCATCATAGTGAACATGATTTATGTCATTATTTATGCCTACTAAAACCCATCTGCTCTATTTTAATATCTTTAGGAAGTAGCACATCACTTTTAGTAATGATAATCTTTCATTGTTTGATATTATGCAGGTTTAAAATTTAATTGCTATATGAAATAAATTGTAGATCACATTTTGGCTATGAACATAGGAAAAAAATCTCTCTTTTAATTTTTAAAAAGTATTTGTTCTTTGATTAAAAAAACAGTGTAAGAGAATGATTACTTTGTTCTATTTTGCTAGCATTTAGGGAAATACTGAATTTCAGTAGTTCTGAACAATAATCAGAAGTTATAGTGCTGTGGAAACTTTGATAAAAATCAAGGTCTGAAAATATTTAATCAAATCATCATTTTCAGCCTTACATATTTTCTTGATACTACTTTATAGATATATTAATAAATGCAGCCAATAGCAGTTTTCAAGTCTGTGAAGACTTTTCATATGGCTTAGTTCTGAATTCCTTATTGAAAATAAACAGATTAGAATCACTAGAAGTCCTTCTCAAGTCCATTAAATAATCCTTCATTGAACACTACCAGATTCTGTCTGTAGACCATTCAATAATCCATTAAATCCTAACCATACTATTAAGTACTAAGTTGAATTTTTTAGTAGAACCAGTTAATAAAATAGGTTCATTTTTTAAATCATTGTGTGTTCATTCTTTTTTATCCTTAATTAAAAGGGTTATTCCTTTTAATTACAATTAATTGTTGTTCCTTTACAGCATCAATTTTGGTTGTAAAGGAAAATACAACATATAAAGTCAAAGATGATTTTGTCACTTTGAATTTAGAAAAATTTGACATTTCATTGTTCCATTTGTGATCGTTTTTTTTCTTTTAGTCATTTTGCTTATGTAATTTCATGCTTTGCTCTCACAGTATTCATAATTGTTATATGTTATACATTAGAAGCATCCATTCTACACCAGTCCTGCTGTTTTCATGGCACATCATGGACAGCCCATCCCTGGTATCATCAGTTATTCCCATCATGCAACAGGCAGTGCAGATAAACGGGTAAGACAATGAGTTTTGAATAATGATTTTGCAAATATATATCATACTTCCTTTATTTGGAGGTGGGCTATAACATATGGAAGATGAGTTATTTTATTGTGAAAGATCTTCAAGGTTATTGAGCATACCACATCAAGGAATTAATTTTTATCTTTGGTGCCTAAATTTCTCCATAGTCATTAAAAGTCTGTCATTTTTAACAGTGAACTTTCATCACTTGACTTTTAAGAAATTCAGCTCAAGAAGTCTGGGTTTTCTTTGTTTGTTTGTTTTGCAGTTTTATTGAATACCTGTAAATAAATTGCCTAGCTTAATTAAGGTAGCATTTAGGAGGATTACATTGTGTCTTAACACCTAGAAATCTTAATCAAACTAATATTTAATTTGCAATGGCTTTTTATTTTCATGAACTTGAATCTCTTTTTGTTTTCCTTCTCTGTGTTCTCATGGCAACCATTGAGAGCTCAGTCTGTGACTTTAATGATCATTAATCTTTAGAAACAGCTGCCTAAGTATACATACTACTTTTTTTACTCAGGAAAAGCAAAGAAAGTTAGACTTAAAATTAAAATTCTTAAATATAAATCATTTAATAGCAATAATTTAGACCATGGATATAAGATTAAAAAAATCCATTTCAATCCATTCTGTGCATATGAAATAAAAGGAAACAGAAAAAGAAAAATAAAACTAATTCATCAGATGAAATTTGACTTTATTTACTTAGGAATTACATATGTATATAATAACCTTTTGGAAGATAACACTATCAAATGTATAATTTAACACTTAAATTCCATAATACATAACTGGTTGAAAATAAAATTGAGTTAGTCAAACGACACATAGTAAATTTAAATTGTGGTTAGTTTAAATATTAGTGAGTGTCTTTGAGCGGTGCCAAATTTGAAGCCTTTCTTTTGGTAATTACATTTTATAGTGCTATTATAACCATTATAGAAAACATTCTGACCTTTTAAAATAAAAGTCATTGCAAGATTCTGCATTTATAACCAAGATTATTGGTCACTGTATTCTAAATATATCAGATTAGATTCTCAAAAATTTGAGGGCTGGAGCCCTCAAATGGATTAGTGGTTAAGGGCATGTACTGCCCTTCCAGAGAACCTGGGTTTGATTCCCGACACCAATGTTAAGTAGCTCACAACAGCCTTTAACTCCAGCTCCAGGTAGATCCCAGTCTTCTGGCTCCTGTGGGTCCTTGAACTTAGGTGCACACATCTACAAACAGATACAAACATATACATAAAGTGAAAAATGATAAAAAGAAATAAATCTTTAAAAGATAATAAAATCTCTTTAGAATTATTTAGGTAATATTTATTTTCATTTGTCACAAGGATTTACATATCTGCTTCCATCATTTCAGGTACATATGAAAGAAGGTAATTATCACATATGATAGACATGAGTTATTGTGACCTAATCTTTTTTTTAATTAAGAAAATTTTTTCATTCATTTTACACACCAATCAAAGATCCCCCCTTCCTTCCTCCAGCCCCCCCCCCCCCCGTGACTTAATTTTCTAGAAGAACTAACTAATTTGAAAATAGCTCCAAAATGCTATAAGTGAATCTCTTCATGGTAGAACTCAGGAACTTATTTATTGACTGGAATTTAATATTCCTTTGTAAGTAGTAGCAGTATTAGTCATTTTGACATTTTAGCAAATATTTATTTTTCAGTTAGACTTAGTTTTTATTCCTTTACTAAATGATGAGTCATTTATCAAAGCATCTAATGCCTTATTCTTTGTACTGTGCCTCCATAGGAAAGAATGAGAAAAAGAAAAAAGAGGTCACAGTCAATAAAACACCTTTAATGTTCTTGGTGTTTCTTAATACAAATCGATTATTCCATGCCATAAATAATTTGTAACCTAGGTAGAGTTGCAGTTATTATTACTACTTTACTTTCCCAAGTAATTTTGTTGTTCTTAACATCAAAAAGAGAAACTTGATCAATGAATGCACTGACTTTTCAGCAGTTACCAGTGATCAATTTACTACTTATTGCCAAATTTTTTGGCTGCCTGCCCAGCAGGCGTTTCCCATTCGCTCTTCCTAATACTGCACTACATATATCCCCATCACATAGTTTGAGCAGGTTAGCTTAATACAGTCACCGTTTTAATTTCATCTAACCACAGCTATTACTTCAGGTAACACAGAATCCAAGCCCATCACAGCTCGTGTTTCTCAGCTCCAACTTATTTTGAAGTACTGGGGAACAAATTCTGTTTAAATATGAGTATGAATGAAGAAATACACATACCAGCCAGGCAGTGGTGGCGCATGCCTTTAATCCCAGCACTCAGGAGGTAGAGGCAAGCAGATCTCTGTGAGTTCAGGACCAGCCTGGTCTACACAGTGACTTGCAGGACAGGCTCCAAAGCTACAGAAAGAAACCCTGTTTCGAAAAACCAGAAAAGAAATACACATCCCAAGAAGTACCATCTTGGGACTCTGAAAACAAGTCCTGCCATAATGACATGAATTATAAAAAAGAAATTATAAAAAATATAGATATCAGGTTCTCACCACATTGTTTACCACTCCGTCAACTCTTTTAAACTGTAGATATCTCTCAATTTTACTAGATAAGTTATTTTTTCTTAAAACTGATTGAAATAAAGGTGAATATACTGTTGTCTATAATCCAAAAGTAATTTTCATCAATATATGGTAATGTATACATCTCATTAACATGAGGATGAGATTAAAATTATTCCTTTAATTGGCCAGAGTATATCGAGTAGGATTTTCTGAAGTTTCACACTTGGGTGAGAAACCTGATTCAAGAGGATAGAGTGTAAGGAATATGAACTAGAGAAGGAACAAGAAGAAAATAAATTGCACTCTGCTATGTTTAACTCCGAGATGACAACTTGTGTTATATATTGAAAAAATAACTGATAAGTTTGATAGTCAAATTTATAAGGACAAACTATGATCTTAGGACAAAGAAGGAAATTTTCCTTGAGATATATGAGAAAATTTCATCTCACTAATGCAAATTAAATCTTCTAGAGAAGTTCAAAACAATGATGATGTTTCTGTGCTCTCCTTATGAGTCTTATGGTACATATGCACAAAAATAAATACATTGATCAGGACAGAAAATGAATGCATATAAAGGCTATCGAGGACACTGGTGTTATGGGGGAATAATTTTCATAGAATTTAGATAGAGGAGTGTAGATTAAAAAGGAAGGGTTTCCTGTTGGAAACTGGGATAAAAAGTGAAAAGGAGTTAGGCAAAAAGTATGTTTTTTTGTGTTTCATTTTGTTTTGCTTTTAGTATATGGTACCTGTAGAAACTCTTAGGTTTAGAGATTTTCATGAATACACATGATGTGCTTTGATAATAGTCACTCTGCCTACCTCTCTTATCCCACTCTCTGCTATTCCTTATGCTTTCCATACCCCTTTGGGTCTACCTTTTACATATATGTCTTAAATTCTACAAATGAGAAAAAATGTAATGCTCGTTGACTTTTTTTTTTCAGTCTTACTCAAATCACTCAATACACTAATCTGCAGTTTCATCCATTTTCTTGCAAATGACATAAGGGCTCTGTGTCTTAAAACTTGACTGTATATGTTGTATATGTATGTATGAACCTCATTTAAATTTATCTATACAGCTGTTGATGGGCACCCAGAAAGTGGCTTCTGTGGACACTGCCATGATAAACATGGAAACATGAGTGTTTACAGTATAGATATTTTCTGATTCTTTTAGGTAGCAAGCCAGAGTTATATAGCTTTATCAGATGGTAGTTCTCTTTTTAATTTTTGAGACACTTACATGCTAATATGGACTAATATATATTCCCATGAGCAGTGTGTAAAGGTTCTGTTTGTTTGTTTGTTTGTTTTTGGTTTTTCGAGACAGGGTTTCTCTGTGTAGTTTTGGTGCCTGTCCTGGATGTTGCTCTGTAGACCAGCCTGGCCTCGAACTCGCAGAGATCCACCTGGCTCTGCCTCCCGAGTGCTGGGACTAAAGGTGTGCACCACTGCCACCTGGGCTCTTTCATTCTTAATAGCATTTGTAGTTTCTGTTTATTTTCTCTCTGATCTTGTTCTGACTGTAGTGGAATAAAATCTCATTTAGTTGTGGCTTTCATGTGTCTGATGAGTAAAGGTATTGAGCAAATAAATCTTCGTGTATTGATTGGCCATCTGTACTTTTTATTTGAAAAGTATTCATCTTAACTGTACTTTTTATTTGTTCTTTTAATGTTTTGTCTTTTTTGTTCTGTACATGAATCCATTGCCAGGTAAGTAGCTGGCAAAATTGTTCTTCCATTCTATAACCTTTCTTTTCATACTGATAATTGTCTTCAGTTCTATGAAGAAACTTTTTATTTGATGCAATCCCACTTGCTAAATCTTGCTCTTATTTCCTGAGTTGTCCTATTCAGAAAGTCATTTTCTATGTTTATATCTTAAATTGGTTTTTTCCTAGTAATTTCACAATTTTAGTTCTAATCTTACGATCTCTACTACATTTTGTTTTGGTTTTTGTACAAGGTGAAACAGAAATCCAGCTTCACCTCATGTATGTGGGCACCCTGCTATATGACCACCACTTGTTTAAGAGAATTCCCTTTCTTCAGTGTGTTTTTGCCACCGCTGTGGCGAATCAGGTGGCTTTTGCTCTTCCTTTGGTCTATGTTCTGTTTTTGAGAGGGTACCATACTGTTTCATGACTATGGCTCTATAATAATGAATCAAGTATTCTGATGCTTTTACCATTGCTAGTTTTGTTCAGGATTGCTTTAACTGTTCTGAGTCTTTTGTGTTTCCATCTAAACTTCTGATTTTTTTTCAGTCTCCAGGAAGAGTATTATAAGAATTTTGATGGAGATTTCACTTATGTTTGCTTTTGTAATATAACCACTTTAAAATCAGTTCCATCAATCCATTAACATGGGAGATCTTTAAATTACTTTGCAGAAGTCTTCTATGTCTTG